TCCACTATTTCCCTGAAGCCCTACAGGCTAGCCATGAGGCATTTAATGCCTGGACATTAGGGGCAAATAAAAAAGTTGTGATCTTGTAAAAATGCTCAGTGTGTTCCTAGTTAGTCATCAGGGGGTGTTTGCCCAAATGAAATAGTTTCTCAAGTACTTTATAAAGATCTTGTTATTATTTTATAATATTCCCTTTGTTCACTGTTTGAGAGTCAAAATCATAGACAGGGCTTTTACTCCCTGTTTCATTTTGTGAGCAACATTTTCAATTCCATCTCAATAGTTTAAATATACATCTTTCTTCACATTTGGTAGCTCTGATGGAGTTATATTATAGTTCTTTACTTTTAAGCTATTAACTCCCAATATTTCAATTCTGCACGTAGTTCAATGAAATTGACCCAAGTCCCTTAAAACAGGTTAGAAATAATAATCTAGAACTTAACATATATTAAAGTATTCATTAATGTTATTATAACTATCACATTGTACTATAATCATTGTTTAAAATTATGTCACATGTGATGTGATTCTGTTTTATGCTCTTTAAGTTTTTATAGGTGTTCCACTTCTCAGATGATGAGACATAGTGGGATTTCCTAGCTATTGTTTCAACTACAAAATCACCGAAGGCAGAGCTATGTGATGTGTCCACACACTCAGAGCACTGGGTTAGATTCAACCACCAATCAATAGAGGGTGGGTCCAAGTTCATGTGCTTCTGAAAACTTTTATATTTAAGTGTTCAATACTTTTCCATGTTTACTGTATGAATTTATAATATATTCATTCTTAGAACATGAATAGGTAATTTATATGATATGTTACTTCAAATGTAAAACAAGACAGCATTAGGACGGCACATTTTTCCTGTTACCCTATTCACTATTAGCAATAGGAACAATAGATAAAAGATACCAAGAAATCAAAAGGGTTTTAAGCCACAATGGTGTTCCCAGTACAGCATGAAGAGAACAGGAATGTGTAAAACCAAGATGACGTTTTCCCAGTAGAAAGAACAGAACCTAATCAGGAGATAGGAGTGAGACCTCAAGAGACTCTATGGGTTCACCTCCAGGAGCAAGGAAGCACTTCCAACCTTCAGCCTTAGAAAACATCTTTTTTAGGAGGTTATTTTCCAAGGGCAGAACTGGAGCTTCCTTACTTGAACAATCCTGGTGAACTAAGAGGTGAGCTCTGTCTAAACCCAAGACTGTGATCGGAGAACTCCCCAAAGTATGTGAAAATCCTCCAAGGAAGACCCTAACCAAGCTCACTGCTGGCTTGGTGAGGGCTTGGACAGTCTCCACATCAGGGTGCAGCAGAAGTCAGGAGCTACATTCAGGAGGACAGACCTGGCTGGCGAGGGGAGAGGGAGCTGTGAACCTGCAGAGGAGCGGTCGGACCCAGGCCAGGCTGGGGTGAGCCAGAGCAGGGTGGGAGGAGAATTGGGAGGAGTGGCCTAGAGAGCTCCACAGGGAGTGTGGCTGGAAAGGGAGAAGGAGATGGGATTGTACCCAACAGCAGGACGAGGATCTGCACAGGTTTTGTTCTGTTCTGTTGTTTGGTTGTTTTTATTTAGGAGAAATTCGGGGGCATTTGAAATGAGCATGTTTGAGTTTAGGTTGACCTTAAACTGCCATCTGAAGTGACCTCTGAGTAGCACCCCACTGGGGTCACCGCAGTGTCAGCAAGATGCCATCACTTGCCTGCTGAAAGCGACCACCTGGACAAAGCCACCTGTGTTCTTTAGCTTTCAGTCTTCAAATCTCGGAACACATAGACAGTGTCTACCATCAGTGGAGGACAGCATCAATAGAGGACCCAGAGAATGTGCGTCCTGATCTGCTAGACAGAAGGCCAAAGCCTTGTGGGACAAACCTCAGGAAGGTAGGAGAGGAGCAGATTGTGGGTAATGACATGGAGATCTCCTTTGAGTCGCTTGGCTACCCATATGTTTATTTTGAGGTGCTGGGGATCGAACCCAGGGCCTGACACACACTAGGCTACTGCCCAACCACAGACCTACATCCTCAGCCCCAGAGAGCGATTCTGTAGGAGAAATTCCTATGTTTTGAATTCTGAAGGACTTCAGCGTGGCCCACAGGCCATCCGGTGAGGTGACCTCTGAGAAACACCAGGCCAGCAACGCAGAGAAACATCAGCAAGGGTCCCCCACTTAGGTCTGAAACCTCCCACCTTCAAAGAGCCACAAGGATGTCCCACAATTTCCACGGGATTCTGGTTCTCTGTCCAAGAGGTGGCTATCATGGGGGCAGTATTGAAAAGGACGTACCCTCAGGACCAGAGGTTGTTTCCTGACACTGCAGGAGTTATGATTATTATTTTGATGCAGAATTCATGGCAAATACAATAGGATGGTGAAATCACTATCATTAAAGTGCTGCGTTGCCCATGTTTTCTCCAAAACAAAAGAAATTAGAGGAGAGAAGAATGTGCAGTCATTTGAAAGGACAAACGAAACCAGAATCAAAGAGCAGCAGTTTGTTCAAGTGTCCTTATCTGAATTTTGGTTAAAAGAGACCCAAAGTCCCACTACAAGGTTCCAGATTGCTTATAACCATATCCTAAGGCTTCCTCCTATCTCCGCAGTAAAACACAAGTGATAACAGAGAGAAAGTACAAAAATACCCAAAACACTGCTTGTGTGAAGGTTGACTCATTATTGATGAGTATTTTTATGTGTTTCTAAAATGGTTTCTGTAATGTATATGGACTTCTTGCTCATGTCCTGTGAAGGCAAGGGAAAGGGCTCCCGTTGGAAGGATGGGCTGGCTTTGAAATAAAAGCTAGGGAAATAGTACCATGAAATAAACACAAGCGACCAGAAATAGGTTTTCAAAGCGGAGACGGCGATAGGCTAAGCCAACCAGCGGGGTACAGCTTCTAACAAAAGGAAGGCGCTTGTGCTTGCTTTGTTTATAGCAGTACAGATCAAAAGGGAGGGATAGGAGCTTCTTCACAAAAAATAGGATGGGGTGGGGGTTAGCAGGCTGTTTGGTTCTTAATGGGTCATTCCATCTCTGGTGCTGTGCTGAACTTGTGATGGAGCTGGGTAGGAAGCCACATGAACCAGGAGTTCTCAAACCAGGGCTACTGCTGGGAGTTCCTTATACCAGACTGTCTTGTACAATGTATCCCACATCATTTTAATTCACACACAGTTCATGGAAGGCTCCCCACGTAGACTAACTCTGAAATCATGGCTCTTTGTAGAGGTTTCCTCCCAGCCTTCCCAATTTCGTGGTCTTAGCTTCAATATGTATACTTTCCAAGTACTACATGTCGCAGATTTCAAGTATGCATGTTTCTTATCAGTATTTTATAGAAAATTGCAAATGAGCATAAAAGATGTAACTTATGGAAAAGGAACCTTTATGGTTGTAATAAACAGGATTGGGAATTGTTATCTGCAGCTACATAATTTATGGAGCTACAATAATGTCAACAGAATACATAAGCTATTTCTGGGAGAGGTGCAGAGAACCAATTGTTTAGACAAGAGAGTCCAGAGAAATAATAGCTCAGGAATAAAAGCTTATTTACTGTCAAATTATAGTTAAAAGGGAATGTGGATTTCTGTATCAACTCTGACACAAAAAATAAATCTCAGGAGGTTTCATGACTCTGTATTAATGGAAAAAACACTTAAATCCTTTGGACTCAAGTAAGAACAGCCTCCAACATCAACACATATTGAGCTCAAGTTATTGGGGAATATATGCACATGTTAATATATATTAAAATTAACCACTTGTGTGTATCCACTGTAACCTTAAAGCTAAATGCAACAAATACGTGAATAGTAAATTGGCAAATGTAATAACTAAAAAGGATTGTCTTTCCAGGTAAATAAACTACTTTTGCATATTAACACAAAGACAAACACCTCAATGGAAATATCTCAAACACATACTTTCAAAAAAGGGTAAAAGGGAGTGACTCAAATAATGTTTGAAAAAATACTCCACCTTATAAAAGGAGGAATGCAAATTAGGAAAACATTATTCCATGTCACCAGATTATTTAGGTAAAGGAAAGTATTTCCTGATGATGTGGAATACCAGGGTCACCTGATGGGCACGTAAGTTAGTTTCACCATGTAAGCAACCTGGATGGAGTTACACCCTCACAGCCAATCAACCCACCACAAGAGTAGAGCTATCTTACATTTCCTCCAAGAAGTGTGAAAGAGAATGTGCCATCGGCTTTGTGCACAAGAACAGAAAATGACTGACTTTTCTCAATATCAGAGAGACTCTCTGTGTTTTATTGCTACCCTACATTATGCAAAAATAGGGCAGAAAATGAATGTACACCTGCTAAATCCAACAACAGGACAGACTTTCAGATGTTCAGTGGTGAATGACAACCAGGACCCAGAAATCAGTCCTGACCTTGAAACCATGTCAAGGTCAAAAGGAACAAATTGATGTAATAAATAGGGCAGGTGTGTGTACAGGAATGATAACTATTCATTAGAGTCACATAAAATAAGCTTTCTAGACAAATGCGTACTTGCTTTCCTTATAAGATTATGTGAAATTACACTTACGGCCCCAGGGAAATAATCTGTGATGACATCATTCTTTGCAAAAAAAAATTATATGAATAACATTCAACCTCTTATCACATAAGTTCTATTAACAAGTGAGGAGGGCTAGGGTATGGATGTGTCATTTTGAGAGACTTTTTCTAAGTGTGCCAGAGCAAAGTGTCTGAAGCCAGAATCCCTCCTTCAGCCTCCTCTTCTATGAAGCTCAAGGAAAGAAATTGTGCTTGAAGAATGGAAATCATGTGTCAAATATTACAAATGAGATAAAAAGAAAAATCAGGTTTTAAAACAAGTTATAATGCACATGGACATTAGTTGGTCTCATCAGTTTAGAAAAAAAATATAGTGACAGAAGAGTCAGGGATTCTGGTTCCAAAGGTTCCTTTATCTTACCCTAGAAAGCCAGGTCCATGCCAGTGATGCATCATAGCAGAGAACCGGTCCTACCCAAGAGTTTCCTCAAGGCCTCCTTCATGTCCCTGTTCCTGAGACTGTAGATAAAGGGGTTCAGCATTTGAGGGACAATAGCATACATCACTGAAGCCACTGCAGAATTCTTGGGGGAATCAGTCACTGCAGAGCTAATGTACACCCCAAAAGATGTCCCATAGAACAAAGAGACAACACACAGGTGAGACCCACAGGTGGAAAAGGCTTTATGCTTTCCTTCTGATGAAGGCATTCTCAAGACAGAGGACACAATGTGAACGTAAGAGAAAATGATCCCGCAGAGAGGAACACCAGCAAATATACATGCTGCAACAAATACTGTGATGTTATCAGTGAGGGTGTCAGAACAGGAGAGCTCGATGACATGAGCAAGTTCACAGAAGAAGTGGGGCATCTCCAGGTGTGTGCAGAAGGACAGCCGCAGCAAGAGCAGTGTGTGGAGGAGGGCGTCAGCCACACTAACGAGCAGGGAGACCAGGACCAGCAGGACACACAGGCGGGGGTTCATGATGACTGCGTACCTCAGGGGGTGACAAATGGCCACATAGCGGTCATAGGCCATCACTGCAAGGAGAAAACTTTCCACAAGTGCAAAAATTATGACAAAGCCAACCTGGGTGAGGCAGCGTGTGTGGGTGATGGTCTGATCCTGCATTTGGATGTTGACCAGCATCTGTGGGATGGTGCATGTTGTATAGCCAATGTCAGTGCAGGACAGGCTGCAGAGGAAGAAGTACATGGGGGTGTGGAGGTGGGGGTCAGAGCTGACAGTCAGGATGATGAGCAGGTTTCCCAGGATGGTGACCAGGTACATGGACAGGAACAGGCTGAAGATGAGGGGCTGTAGGGCTGGGTCCTCTGTCAGTCCCAGGAGAAGGAATTCTGAAGCCGCTGTGTGGTTTATGGGTTCCATGGTGTTGATGGCTCTGATGGAAAAGACGGGGTGACACACCATAAATGAATAGCCAACAGCAGCTTTAGGAAGACGATAGAAACACAAAGTCTTGCCCCCACAACAGTCCTGTTGCCGATACCCTCTGATAATGAGGACCAGGAGCCTGTGCTCCAGCAGACCCTCTGCATGGCGTTCATGTGTGCTCAGCTTTGAGAGTCAGTTAGTACAGGAAGTCTTCATGGGCACTTTGAGCTCAAGCCAATACTCAGAAGTTTTCCCCTCTCCTTCCTCCCTGGTCTGCACACTCATTGTCCTTTCCCCTCAACTTCCTTGATTGCCATAATTTTTATGGAGCACCATCGGGTGTCCTATCTTGTGCTAAGTGCTGAGCAGGAAGCACAGGGTGCTTTGCAGTCAGATATCCCAGGCCTTCACACTCAAGATGAGAAGGAAATTTTGTACCTTTGGCTGCCTTCAGAATCCTCTGAGAGACTTACAGATCTGCAGGTGTGTAGTTGACTACACCCCCATTTACATATGAGGACATGGGGGTGAGGTGAGCTTCGATCACGGGTGTGGGATCCACGGTGCTTGCTGGTCAGAACGGGGTTGGGGCTCCATATTCTGACTGCTGTGTTGATTCATAACCAGTCTCTGCAAATGCCTCTGCATGGTACAGAGCTGGCATTCCTCAGAGATCACTCCAATCTCATCACTGGGCTTTGCAATTCTAATATCTTCCTCCCGATCAAAGCCTCTTAGACTTTCCCTTTGCCTTGAAAATGTATCTAACAGAGCCAAGAGTGATGATGCATGCCTGGAATCCCTGCTACTCAGGAGGCAGCAAAAAGCATGAATTTGAGGCCATCCTGGGCAACATTCCAAGATACTGCCTAAAATTTTTTTCTTTAATCTATTAAAAAGTGTATGTCCATCTTACCCAGGAAATTAATCATAGTAAGTTGATCATATCCATGCAGACGTACCCGAGCAAAGATTGGAACAAATTGCTTCTATACTTGAAGCTTAGGAGATCCCCCTTGGAAACATAGGTCACCCCCTTAGCAATTACATCTGAAGGGAACTGAGTGACTCTGTCTATGCGATTCTCTCTCTCATGTGAAAGGAGTTCAACCCTGGTGTTGACAAATTTTGTTGATTTTTTAAAAAGTGAGTTTAATTGAGAAAAATCGATTAAAAGAGAAAAATTGAAATGTGCAGGCATATAAAAAAAGATATGAAAAAATTTTAAATCCCTGAAATCAGAAAGTACAAGGTACTCAAAGTTATCAGATAATTTGAGTCCTATTAGGAGTGTCCCTGAATACCAAGATCTTGTCTTCAAGGGGAGACAGAGGTTTCCATGACACCATTTCCATCTGTTGTAATAGTAGACTAACAGAATCTGAATGTGACCCAGACCCACCCCATCTGGGAACCACATGGTTTATTAACTTGATTATGGTCATTATTTTGCAGTACATGGTATTTCCCAACATCCCAGTGTGCACATAGTATGCATATGATTTTTATCCAACCATAATACAGTTGTAAAAATATGTGGGAATGTTTCACAATGAGGAATTAATAAATCAAAAGTACCCAGTACAGTAACTTTCCAAATAGTTACCATGATACTGACAATTCCTGTTGGTTTCTTTTATCACTGTCATGAACCATCACATGAAACACTGTTCAGTTTTCAGAAAGAAGCAATGTAATGACAAATGAAAAAAGAGAACCATAAGAGATCATCTCTAGCATGATAAATGCAAACATCAGGGAGGGTTAATGTGCTGAAACTCCCTCTGGCTAAGAGAGTCAAGTAGGAAAATGAGGAGACCTCAGTGAGACCAGGTTCATATCACCTGGCTTCTGCTGAAACAGGAGATAAAATGAATGAAGAAATCCATGAATTAGGTAAACCTGAATTGCTCTTCCAAAGCCCTAACTGGGGGTCATTTGATGTCTAGTTGGCTTCATGAGGAATGTTGTTCCACACCTCACCTGGAGACTGAAGGTGGAGGACGTGTCCTTAGGAAAGGCAGCAGACATAGTGAGTCGGAGGATCCTGAGGAAGGCTCGTCTCTGGGAGGAGGCCCAGGTGCTGCTTCCTGGCTGGGGCAGGGCTGCTGAAGGAGGTGGTCCCAGGGGGACTCCTGCAGTCTCTGTGTCCCTGGGACTCTATACCCAGAGCTCCTCATTAGACTAGATATTTTACTAACATTCTGATCCCAAGAGGGCTCGTCAGTGAAAACCAACTCTGCAGAACTGAGGGGTTCAGGGTGGCTGATTCCTGACCCGAGGTCATGTTTGCTCCACTCAATTCTCTGCACAGCTGTGTGGCAAGGCCCTGATCACACAACATGTGACATCTTTCTAAATAATCCCAGGGCTCCTTTTCAGTCTCAAACAAAGGGATGCCTATTTAACTGACTGTTTCAGGGAGCCTGATTCTATTTTTTGTGAAAAGATCTGTCCTGTAGGGCTGGGGTTGGGGCTCAGTGGTAGAACGCTCGCCTAGTATTTGTGAGGCCCTGGGTTTGATCCTCAGCACCACATGAAGATAAATAGAAGTATTGTGTCCATCTACAACTAATATTTTTTTTTTAAAAAATGACCTGCCCTTTAGATGTGAGACTACATCAAATAACTATATATAGATAAGATCTTGTGTTATTCAGATTTCTCTTGCTGAATGAACATTTTAGATGAATCAACATAAAATGTGCAAAGGTTTGTTTTTGCTTAGGACTTTGGGTGTTTCCCTTCATTGTCTCCTCCTCTGTCACTCTGGGACCTTACAAGGCCATACATGATGGAGGGAGTATGTAGCAGAGGAGGTGGCCAGGAAATGAAGACAGAGAGGAGGGTCTGGGGTTCCACCCTCCCTTTCCAGACCACGCCCCAGTAGCCTACCTGCCTTCCACGGCACCCACCTTTGAATGGTGCCACCACTGCCTGTAGTGTTGAAGGCTGGTAACCAAGGTTTTAATGGATGGGACCTAGCAGGACAAAAATCTAAACTATAGGGTCACAAAATGTGAACACTCAAAAGGTTCAGGGAGAGAGATTGCCCACCTCCCTTTGAGTGCTGGGATTGACCCCAGGCCTACACATGCTGAGCACTGCCGCAGTCCGACTGCAGCAAAATAACCGGGGGGTGACGAACAACTTGTGTGCATTGATACAGCAGAAGTGGGAACTGTTTATTGTAGGACAACAGAGGTATTTATACATTTTACACAGCTTATCTAATTAACATAAACTAGATATAGCAGTCAACCAATAAGGAATCTCCACACTTAATGGCTCGCTGGAGTTACTTCACAAACCACTCCCTCTGGCAAAATGCCAGGCGCCATCCAGACTTGTTTACAGACTCTAACATTTGCCAGGCGCCATCCTGACTTGTTTACAGACTCTAACAGAGCACACACTCTAACACTGTGCTTCCCCACTGCCCCACATGGGGTTTGTATAAAGAAACTCTTGTACATTTGAACTCGGGATGTCATAATTTGGAATGTGCCATCTACCATCACATGAGGTGACCTCTGAGCATCAGTGCTGTGAAAGGACACTGAAGTCCTGGCAGGATTCCATTATGAGCCTTCTGAAAACGTCCACCTGAGAACAGCCACAGAGACTCCCCTGGTCATCAAGGTCTTCAATTCCCCGTCCACAGAGGTGGTGTGTAGCTAGAGGAAGCATCAAAATAGGAGCCACTTTCAGGAGCAGAGAATGTGCTTCCTGAAATCTCAGGTGTCGACACATATTTTGATAAGGTGGTCTCAACATTTCAACTATGATTAAATCACTGTCATTAATGTGCCATGTAGCACGTGTGTTTTTTCCAAAACACAGGAATTATAGGAAAGATGATATTTGCAGGGATTTGAGAAAAGAGGAGAAAACAGCTGGAGTTTGTTAGTGGGTCCTAAGCTACAGTTTCCAACTGCTTGTGCAGCGGCCAGATGAGGAAGAGGAGGAGCACTGCAAGGGGAGGAGGGGGACCCTGAGCCAAGTCACTTGAGTGCCTGGGTGAAGGTCACAGTAGAGGTCATCTCTAGCATCCCATCAACACAGCTAGCTCAGCAGGGATTCACTTGCAGAGAGTCATGTCCTCTTGATCAGGACGATGACTGAGGAAATGATGGTTGACAAATTCCTCTGGGTTTGGCTTTTCTCTGAGCTGAGATACCACGGACTGCCACCTCTTCCTTCTCCCTTTTCCTTCTCATACCTAACTTTACAGCCCATCTCACGGGGACACACCCTTCCTCTCTACTGCATTTACAATGTTTCGAGCCAGGTAACTTTGAAGGTAATCTTCTCCTAAGAGGCAATAGTAGATAAAAACCATGTGAGAAAAAGAACCACTAAAATAAATTTTATTTTAAGGATATCTACCTCTTCCTGCATAAAAAGTGATAATAACAGAGAATGAATATCTACCCCACAAAAGGAATTGTTCTAGCTATAAATCAGTAAAAGTTGATCCTTTTTAAAACTCTACCTCTCTCTAAAATATTCTTTGCAACCAACATGGAATAAGTATGTAATATGCTTATGGTTCATGAAAGGAGGGCTTGGAGATCGTTAACAGAAGCCACTTAATTTTAGGAGTGGGTTTGTTAGTTTAATGAAGACATAAGATACTAACTCTGAGAAAGATGAAAGATGTTCAGGTGAGACAGTCCAGAAAAATAATAAATAAGCATTTGATTTATTGCTGAATTCGAGGTAAAAAGAAATGTGGATTTCTGTGTCAAATCGAAGTTCTAAGTAAATCCAAAATGTTTCGTGCCACTAAACTAAAAGGCCTAACTCAAAATACCTTGCACTGAAGTAAGTAAAGCTTTCATTGTCAAACATAATAAAGTCCAAATCAACACCTGCACACCCACTAAACACTGTACAGCTGATAAAAAGCGAGTCAAAACACAAAAAGGAAGTGTCATAAACATAGCTAGAAAGGACTAAAATAAAAAAAACTGCTATCCATTGACAAAAAGACAAACAGCTCAATGGAAATA